CAAATAAGACATACGTTATAAAGATATGCAATATAAATAAGACGTAGGATATAAACAAGACATGCGATATAAATAAGACATACAATATAAATAAGATATACGATATAAATATAACATACAATATAAATAAGACATGCGTTATAAAGATGTGCGATGTAAATAAGACATGCGTTATAAAGATATGCGATATAAATAAGATACGCGATATAAATAAGATACGCGATATAAATAAGATACGCGATATAAATAAGAAATATGGTATAAATAAGATATGCGATATAAATAAGATATACGATATAAATAAGATTAATTAAAATTTATTATGCGGTCAATATGTTCGCGATTATTTCTTAAATATATATTCAAATTAAATTTTTTGATGTAACTTAATTTTTTAATTGGCGTGTAATATGCCCATTTATAAATGGTATGAATCATTATATTTGTTTGAAGCATAGTTGCCAATGCAACTATCTCCACCTCTGTTCCATAAGTTGCATTTTGAGATATGCCTGTTCTCTCCAAATATTTGTCAACGGGTTCTCCCAAAAACCCCTCCATCTGCTCAACAATATCCTTGCTTCTCATAAAGAGAATGCATTGCTGTCTCAGAAAATCGTAGTGGCATTCGTCATCACAAACTTCTTTGCTTATACATCTACAATAATGATTAACAATAATTTATTTTAAATATGTATACCTGAAGAGACAATTTCCATCACCAATAATCCGCTCGGTAGAAAAATTATCTCCCATTACACCATTATCATATTGGATATCTTTTCTTGATCGCAAAATGAAAACGTTCAGAATGATAAATTTTCCATATTCTATTGGTGGGAAGAAATAAATTTGCATCATCTTTCTTATAAATTACAGTCTCTACTGTCAATTCATTATCTAAAAAATATGCATAATTAAATAATAACACATATTAATACCTTTCTCAATAAACAGTCCTACTTTGTCAATTACAGCTGGTATATTAGGATTAAAAGGCATAACTAATAATTTAAAAAACAAATTATATCAATTTATAAAAATATTACTATTTTCTCGATGGGTTCCAAGCTCTACCATCTTCGTTTCATCATTTAATATCTTTATCCTCTTAAAATCTGCATCATCTAAAAAATACATATAATAATAAATATTTTATATTTTTAGTCTTCACAATTCTTATTCTCTTCCCCAATAATCGTGCTGAGTAATTTTGAGACTAAATATTTAAAAAAATTAATGTGAGTTTTATAAATAATATCGAAATGATTTTCTTGAGCATTTAACTCCTCATTATACTCACTACCTCAGAGTTTTTATCATCTAAAAAATATGTATATTACTAAGTAATTAAGACAATTATATACCTTTTCTTGCAAAGTAATGTTTTATATTACATATATTTGCTTTGATCTTTAAAATGCTACCGCTAGCATTCATGAGCTCAACATTGCCTAAATATTAAAAATAATTTAATAATATTGATAAATTTCACTTTTAAGAATCCTAACTATTGTATAAGGACCCATCTAAGGTCTGGTCATTTTACCACCTTTCCTATCAGCCCGACGGCTGTTCCAAATAAGCACTTGATCATTGACTAAATAATGGTTATTTCTACCAGCATTACGACTTAATCCCTCTGCTGTTTAAGCTGAGCAAGATCTATATTGCTAGCAGCTATCTCATGAATATCATTCATCCTGGAAACTGTATCTTGAAAACAAGATTCCAAATATGCTTCAGGTACATTGTCAGGATCAATATCCTCTTCAATCTTAAATAGAGACATAATATATAGTATATGATTATAAAATGAGATTTATCATACCCCATAAGCTTGTTTTACTGTTCTACCATACATCAGCTCATACGGTGTAAATTTCGAAGATTCGTGTAGAGAAGTGTTATAGGCAAATATTATGCCAGGCAAGGCATTTGTCCAAATTAATTGATCATCCTTAATACACTTTAGTAGTGCATTTTGGATTGTCCTATTCACTCTTTCAACCATGCCATTTGCTTGAGGGTGATAAGCACTTGTCACCCTCTGCATGGTCCCTACGAGTTTGTAAAAATTATTGCTTATTTCATTCACAAACTCACGTCCTTGATCATTAATTTGAATCTATATATAATATTAATATTTTATTACCAAATTTATTATACTCTTGCCCTACCATGTGTGCATAGTAACGAATAAAAGAAGCGCGATACCGATTTTGCTGTTTTATCTTTTAAAGGCATGGTATATTTGCTGAAATAATCAACTGCTACAGCAATGTATTTATAGCCATCCTCACTTTCAGGCAAAACATTTAAATCAACACCTATTTGTGTCCATACATTTTGTAAAATAAAAGATTGTTGTTATATTATATACTCCATTAGGAGGTTAGGTGTCATGTAACAAAGTAAAGCTGCTTACCATTATTTATGATTGCAGCTGAAAAAAAACATAATAATAAAGAATGAGGTAAAATCTAAATTAGCTAAAAAATGAAATTATGATATATATATCAATTTTTCCCTGAGATTGAAGGGGACTATATTAATTTTATTTACTATATTTTCAGATTATAAGTTTTATTAATTAGATTATATACAAATTATATTTTTATTTTGGACTGTTATATTAACCTTAAAGAAACTAAAAATGAATATATATATTTATTGTAAAAAAATTCAATAAAATTTAAATGGTTCAATATATGAAACCAACATAACTAATAAAAATAAGTGCCACATAATATAAGCTATAATAGACAGATCATTAATAAGGCTACAAATGAAAAATAAAATACATAAACAAAAATTAGAAACAATTATAATGACCAAACTATAAAAATTTTCAAATTAAGGATTTGTTATGTAATCAACTTTAATACCTTTGTTGGAATAGGAATTGAATGCAACTCATTGTTAGTTTTGTCAAATCTTGTGTTGCTACGCTGGCAAATATTACAACATTTTACAAAATTAACCACATCCAATTTCATATTTGGCCACCAGAAGCTAAAAATATAATACATGATATAATAAATAGATTTATTATGCAGAAATATTTTACCTACTAGTCAAGTTGCTGTGAGTCTTGGTGATACCAAAATGGTTAGCTAAAGATTTTGCCTCATTAGTATCACATCCACTCCACTATAACTTTTTAAAGAAGGTAAACTCTTCTGTTACAATCTAAAATTGTATCACTACTATAAAAATGGTAAAACAATTTATTATTGTGTATTATATTTAAAAATATATTATTGATCATATAATATTATAATTTTTATATATTTTACCTATCAGCCAATTTGCTGTAAGTCTTGGTGATACCAAAATGGGCAGCAAGAGATATTGCTGACACATTAGTATCACATCCACTGTGAACCATTTGAAGAAGTTGAATTCTTCGGTCAAGGTCCAATACGACTTCACCATTATGAGAATGGTGATGCATTTTACCCTTACAAATTTTATATATCGAGGCCTGAACTCGCAGATTGCGTCTTAAGCCATTATTGAAAGATATAGATGATAGATATTTTTAGTAAAGGATATAATCGTGTATCTCATCGAATTCTATTAAAATGAATAGAAATATACTAAACAAAATTTATATATTTGATTTATCGTCTTTCGTCATTTATTTGGGGAAACAAAGGATAATTTTGGTATCAAAAACAACTGTTGAAATGAATAAAAAAATAATATATATAATAAATGGCTCAAGTCTATATCCAAATTTAATTTATAGTATTCAATGAAAATAAAGAATATTTCAGTGTATTTAGGCAATATTTTGCTTGCAAACTGAAATTTATCTTATAGAAAAAATTTGCAATACTGAAATTTATCATATAGAAAAAATTTGCAATATTTTTTAAGTTAGCAAAGATTTAAATAAACTTAATTAAAATAAAATAAAGAATATTTCAGTGTATTTAGGCAATCATTTTGTTTGCAATTCTGAAATTTATCATATAGAAAAAATTTGCAAAATTTTTTAAGTTAGCATAGATTTAAATAAACTTAATTGGAATAAAAAATTATCATGTTAAAGTTAGCAAAGATTTAAATAAACCTAATTACAATAAAATAAAGAATATTTCAGTGTATTTAGGTAATCATTTTATTTGCAATACTGAAATTTATCATATAGAAAAAATTTGCAAAGTTAAAAAAGATTTAAATAGCTTAATTGAAATAAAAAATTAGTAGGTATACTCAAAATAAAAAAATATTCTATTAAAATTACTAAAATTTATTATTAGAAAAATTTACAATCATTTACTTTGCAAAGTTGAGTATTGGTAGAATAATAGGTTTTTATGCCAGTTTATAAGTTAATCGTTGTTATAATGCTATCAAATATATATAAATAATTCAATAATATACAATTACTTTGTAGGCCAGCAATTGGATATGTTTTAATATACTTTATCTAAAATTGATCAATTAAGATATTAGAAAGATATATTAATTACTGCAAAGTTGAGTATTGGTATAATAATAGGTTATTATGTCAGTTTATAAATAAATCGTTGTTATAATGCTATCAAATATATATAAATAAATCGTTGTTATAATGCTATCAAATATATATAAATAATTCAATAATAATATACAATTACTTTGTAGGCCAGCAATTGACTATATTTTAATATACTTTATCTAGAATTAATTAAATTAAGATATATTATTTTCTACTTTGCAAAATTACTTTGTAGGCCAGCTTACAATTGATCTTGATAGATTCTTCATAAATCTGATTTAAACGAACTCCCACTTCAATCAAATATGTCAATATCACTAAAAAAATAAGGTTAAATCTTAACATGTCAGTCATAAATGCCAATATCACTAAATTAGAATCTATTTAAATCGGGAGTTCATTTAAAACGTTACACCGGTGTAATATTTAAAAAAAAAATTTGGGGGCCCGGTGTAACGTTTTAAAAATACTCCATTTTTTTATATACTCCTTTAAGCTTATTTGTGGAGTATTTTCAGATCATATTGTTCGATTATAATGTATTTACATATCAGAGTATATTTAGATCAATGTAATTTTTATAATGATATTTTTTTGAAAAAGTGCTCATGTCAATCAAGAAACATTATTCTGGAGCTGATGATGCTGAGGCGATTTTTTTGAATTTCCAGTCAAATTTTTTAGGTCGTAAAGGATATTTGCCCCGTTGGCGCCTTTTTTAAACTCCATTTTAAAAAATAAATACAGGTTCATATTCATATATTTTACATTATAAATTTTATTTTATTATAGAAAATAAAAGAAGCTACAAATTTATCATTGATTCAAGAAGCTAAAGATTTATTATTGATTCAAGAAGCTAAAGATTTAAAAATACAGGTTCATATTAATATATTTTACATTATAAATTTTATTTTATTTTAGAAAATAAAAGAAAAGATTTATCATTGATTCAAGAAGCTAATCATTGATTCAAGAAGCTAAAGATTTAAAAACAGGTTCATATTAATATATTTTACATTATAAATTTTATTTTATTTTAGAAAATAAAAGAAGCTAAAGATTTATTATTGATTCAAGAAGCTAATCATTGATTCAAGAAGCTAAAGATTTAAAAACAGGTTCATATTAATATATTTTACATTATAAATTTTATTTTATTTTAGAAAATAAAAGAAGGCTAAAGATTTATCATTGATTCAAGAAGCTAAAGATTTATTATTGATTCAAGAAGCTAAAGATTTATCATTGATTCAAGAAGCTAAAGATTTAAAAACAGGTTCATATTAATATATTTTACACTATAGTTTTATATATTTATTTTAATTATGTCATTATATCTTAATACTAAATTTAATTCTATACATGAATTAAACGATGCCATATCTATATATGAAAAAGAATTTTTTTTTAACAGTTATTAATAAATCAGACTTATTAAAGGAACCTTATAGCAAAGCATTTATAGCTCAATATAAATATAATTGAGTTTATTATATATATAAATATGGACTGAAAAAAAAATAAGTCTAGAGGTATAAGATCCTCATCTAGTCTTCGCAAGGAATGTATTTTTATGTTCACAGTCTTTCTTCAGTGTGATAAACTAAATGTGTATTCTTTAGATATTGTCACATTTGTAAAAGATCATAAAAACCATGATCTAGGTTAGACATATTTATTTGATTTTTAACTAACTTGATTTATATAATCAAGATAAAAAACTATATGAGATGCTCTCTAAACAAAGAAGGCTTTCTCCAATAAAAAAACAAATTGTGGAGCAAGCTATCACTTTTAAAGCTAATAAGGTGAAAATACAAGAATATGTTCTTAATTCAGGTCAGATGATGACTCTGAGAGATATTCATAATATTTCAGCCAAATTAAACAAGCCATCTGATAATGTATTACTTGATGTAATAAATCAACTCAGGGAAGATAATGGAGCTGTGATGGAAATCCTAGAAAATGATAGTGAATTGTTGGGCATTTACTTTCAAGATGCTAGCATGCTCCATTATCTTAAATATTATCCTGAGGTGATATTCATTGATGCTACCTACAAATTAAACAATCTAGGTATGCCACTGTTTATTCTACTTGTAATAGATAGTCATGGACAATCTCAAATTGTCGCTTTATGGCTTGTAAAGGCGGAATCATATTTTTGTGTTAAAAATATGTGCATGATGCTTGGTACCAGATGAAAAAATCGTCTGCGGGAAAATGGCTGATGTTAAATTGTTTTATATATTTTCTTCAAGATACATTTAAAATATTTGCCTTTAAAATGCTATCTCCGAGAAATAATGGAATGCCATATCTTTATTTGAATGGAAAACAGGCCTATTTAATCTTTTATATTTTATAGATATCAATAAAAATCACTTTATCATCATTGGAGGAGACCTTAACATGAAATTATGTAATGAAATCACTAATTCTCTTATTGGTTTTGCTACTTTAAATAATCAACTTTTTATAAACAAAGAAACAATAAATTCCACACATACTTCAAACCCTCAAACAAATATACTCCTATAATCCTTAAAAAATATAATATCTCTAATCTTAATTTACCAACCCCAGCAAATAATTTTCTACATAATTTGAATCAAATCAACAATAATGACTCATGGTTAAACATTTCAAACTCAATTATCAAAACAGCAAATACCCATCTTAATATTAATTATCAATATCTATACATAATGTACATAAATACAAATGTGTTATTTTAATTATTTCTGCTAACAATATAATTATACATGAATGGGTTTAAATTTAATCGTCAATATGTGTCATTAAATCATCACAACACAAATTCTCATTAAATATTTTCTTTGTTATTTTTTATTTTTCAATATTATTTTTTAGATGTTACAAGAAAAGGTATAGTTTTAAAAAAAATTAATTATATATTTATATATTTATCAAGATGACACTTAAATCAGGAAAGAAAAAATGTTAATACTTTTAAAAATTTATTAAATAACTTTAAACAGTTCCTAGGTCAAGTGAAAAGTTTCATTCTAGTACCATAAAAGGTATACAATGGATTTTATTATTAAATAATATTCCTTTTTTTAGATGATGATGAAAATTTTCAAGAACCAGCTATTAAAAATCTAAAGCTTAATGCGGAAGAAAATCATATGAAGGGTAATATTTTCATATATTTAATATTAAATCCTTTTTGAAAATATCTAGTTATGAATATAATAAATTCGATAGTTGGAGAGGATTATAATTGTATAAACAAAAAAGGTATAATAAAAAAGATCTAATATACATATTTTTTTAGATGATGGAGTTAAGACACCAGAAAAATCATCGAAAATGCTAGAGCCTGATGACATTCGACCTTTTGGTAACATTTTTAAGATTTGATAAAATCAATTTTTTAATTTAATAGGTACCCCGCCGGAGAGGACGGGCATGGCTCAAAATGCCGTTTATGGTACAGAGGTGGAGATAGTTGCAATGACAACTATGCTCCAGACAAATATTTTAATACATACTATTTATAAATGGGCATACTATATGCCCATTAAAAAATTAAGTAATATTAAAAAATTTAATGTAAATATTTATTTAATAAATCATAGCGAACATATTGATCGCATAATTAATTTTAATTAATATTTATATCGCATATAGCATATATTATTTATATCGCATATAGCATATATTATTTATATCGCATATATTATTAATTGATTTTTTTATCTTTATATTTACAAATTAAATAAAGGATTTTAATAAATTATTCTGAAAATTGTTTCTAACTTTGAGCAGTAACGTGATAATAGATAGTGCAAGATTTATATGTTAATCTTTGATATTTTCGAATTAAACCTTAAATAAATATATAAATGTTTAACACTTAATATTAAATCTAATAATTTCTAAAGAGAATAAGGCAAAATTGCCTTAAATATCATAGGACATAGAAAAAATAATATTTATTATTCATACGTCAGTTATAAATGCCAATTCACTAAATTTATTATATTTAATATTTATGTCAGTCATAAACGTCAATATCACTAAAAATGTAATATTTAATATATACACGTCAGTCATAAACGTCAATATCACTAAATATAGGAGTATATAAAAAATGGAGTATTTTTAAAACATTACACCGGGCCTAAAATTTTTAAACCCTCGCCGGGCCTAAAATTTAAAAAATTTTAAAAAATAAATCCGAGCCTGGCCGAATTTATAATCTGGGCCGGGCCGTACAAATGGTACCCGCAGGCCTCTGACAGGGGCGTCGCTAGCCTTTACAATCTCAGGGGGCTCAACCAAAAAATTTTTATATTAATATATTATACTTTTTTAAAATTTACTAACTCTAAATAATTATTCTGAATGTCATTTATTATATTTTGCATGCAAAATAAACTAGCATATAAATCATTAAAATAATACAAGACATATCTAAAAATAATATTTTTTAATACAAAATCTATTTATTACAGTATAAAATATTTTCGATTGTTGATATAAAAAAATTTTGCGCCTAAAAAATTATAAATGATAAAAAAGGTTAATTAATTCTTATATATATGCCTCAATTGATAATGGTTTTTGAAAACTACATAATAATATATAATATTAGCAACTTACATTGACAAAAGATCATGAAACTAATATAACTCTCTATTACCATTTTAGACAATGTTTTATAGAATGAACTAATAAGAAAAAATTTATAGACCTCACCAAATCAACAATTCTTGAAGAAGAGAATATAAACGACCAATCCAAATCATAAAACTATATGGTGGTTAGAGCTTCCTCTTAGATGACATGATGGAGCTAGATAAGTAATCGAGAAAATTATTGTATGATATTAAATTTCTAAAAGATTATCTTCCATTTTTAATGATATATAAACGACTACACAGTTGACCATTATTGCTTATCTAAAATATGCGATCATATGCTCTCAGCAGCTGTAGTAAAAATCTTAAATTACATAGCCACACAAATAATAGATGCTGGTTAATTTGCAGTCCTAGCCATGACACTCACGATGGTAACCCATATCAGAAATTATTCTGTTAGATAAATTTATAAAACAAAAACACTAAAAACCTTTAGAAGAAATTATGCAAATATATTGAAGCCTTGAGTTATTTACATGGCAAAAATGCCATATTATAAATGAAACGTAACTACAAAATAAGAACCAGAGTGATATCATGAAAACATTAAGATTTTATATATTATTGTCGCACCATCTCTAGTTGGTATATTATATCTTAAAATAATAGTAGTTTGTAATAATATTAAAAATATATTCATATTAAAAATTTAACTCAAATCTAAATTCCGAAGAAAAAAATTGCTTCCTAAAAACACGTAAAAAAAGAGAAGAAAAGGTATCTAATTTATTACATCCATTGTGGGATAAATAATAATACGCTTAATTTTAATTATATTGTAAATAAATAGATGGCGTTAAATATTTGTAAGCAAATTGTTACTTATATTTATTATCAAGGCATTTATTAGTAAAATTCATTATAATATTAGCTGTAATATATTAACTGTCAAATACGTCTATAAAAGTGGCATTTTATCTAATATTTTATAAACAACTGTATATAATAGAGGATTATAAACTATATGTCTACTTACTTACTTTTTATTATACTTATTTGGGCCTGGAAAATATTTTTAGGAATAGGTATGATAATAAAATTTAAAAATATATATACAGTTGATTAGTCATTTTGAACTCTGCTAATTACAATATTAAATTTTTTAGTTTTTAATAATAAATGATTATATTTATTTAATTAGGATTATGAAATAATTTAAATAATAATAGTCAATTAAGCTTCAACTATTAATGCTAAATTAATATTTAGTGAGTGATACTAATAGTCTATTTTTAACACAAAATTTGATTGCTAGCTGACATAGTAAAAATATAATTTATATATATTAATTTAATCTAATATTTAAAATAGTATTAATTTAATAAATATTTAGATAGTCTTATTAATTTTTAAATAATAAAATTAAATCTATATTTTACTTAATAGAATTATAAAAGAAATCTTTCAGGGGGCAATCAAAAAAATTTATTTTTAGTTCAAGGGGTTAAGATTCTATTTAAAAAAAATTTTTGCTTCAAGGGGCTATTCAAATTTTCCAGGAAGCTCAAGCCCCTGCGCCCTCTCCCTGACGACGCCACTGCTATTAAGCTCAGTAGCATCACTGTTCCAGCTCCCTGAAAAATTTAAATAGCCCCCTGAACAAATTTTTTGAATGGCTCCCTAAAAGCCCCCTGAACGAAAAAAAAATTTGATAGCCTGCTTAATATTTTTTTAAAAAATCTAATGAAAATTTAATTAATCCGATTTAATTATGTGATCTGTGTTAGCCGAGTTCAAAATCACTAATAAACTATATTACTCATTTTTAAATTTAATTTATTATGACCTTTTCTAAAATCCAAACCAGTATTCGAAATTTTTTTTATTAAAACTCTAAATATATTTAATTAAAACATCTTTTACTCATTTAGTTTATATTTATAAGATACTGAGGAAAGAAGAAATATTGAATTTGAGATGAATATTTTAAATGTTGAAACTGGAAGCAATATTGATGTTGATCTTGATATATTTTAGACTAAAGAAAAGGAGAAATGATGGAGTAGAGTTCAAAAAAGTATATTTATAAAATAGTTTTTCAATTTCAAACTATACTTTGGATAATAAAAGAAGATTAATTGTAGTTTTGAGAGGTATAAATAATGGAAGAAAAAATGTTGAGAGAAATAAAATCGGTAAATTAATTTATATATAAGATATTTTATTTGTAAAACAACAGAAGCTATAAGTGGTTGAATCTGAGGATATGAACTCTGATAGGATTCAGTTTTTAATATAACTAAAAAATAAAATTAAATACAGGCACGTAATCTGGCGAGAATGCTAAATGATTATTTGTAGCAACAATCCATATAAAGTATTTTTGATAATAAAAATGTTGTAGTTTAACAAAGCATATTTAATGAAATACACTTTTAAACTAATTTTATTTAGATTTTTTGGATAATAAGAAAGAAGATTAAATGTGAATGAGAGATCTAAATAATGTAGATAAAAAAGCAATGAAAATAGGTAAATTAATTTATATATAAGATATTTTATTTATAAAACAATAGAATCTATATATGAGGTTGAATTTGTAGATAAGAACTCTTATAGGAATAATTTTCTAATATAATTATTAATTAAGGATAAAATTTGATATAGTTAAAACCTCTTAATTGCATATCACTTAAATGGAAAAATTTTTAAATGCGAAAATAATCAGCCATTTTGTTTAAATCTACAATGGCATAATGTTAAAAATATATTTTTAAATGCACATCGAATAATTGCGAAATATAGGTTAAATGCGAAAAAGATTCATCATTTTGATTAAATCTACAATGCCATAATGTTAAAATATATTTTTAAATGCAAATCAAATAATTGCGAAATATCGATTAAATGCGAAAAATTTAAAGTCCCATTTTAACAATGCTATTTTTATGGAATAATTGCGAAGCGGTAATTTTTGAAAATTTATTTTTGAATTTTACATTAATCTCTTAAATTCTTGATACAATCTGAAGGGTTTTTCTTTTTATTTGAGGCTAGGTGCTTAATTACCATGTATCATAAAATTATTATTTTATGCTCAAATTTATGAAAAAATTTAATTTATAGAATCAAAATTATCACCTTTCTTTATAAATAAACAACCCGCAACTAAGAAAATTAGCTTTCCGAAAACATAGGTAGTATTATTAATTTTGCTTACATAGATACAGAGCTCAAATTGCAGTCTGAATGGCCTTCTCATGCTACAAAAAGATAGAATTTTCCCAAAACATTTAATGAGGTAGTTCTAAATTTTATATGCAATTTTTGTTGCTACAGATATATAGAAAACGACAAAATATTAATTTCATGCAATCTGCAATGAAAGAGGGAGCGCCCCTCTTGAAAAGGTTTATATTTTTTATATAAATAAAGAGATTTATTTAATTTTCTAGAAAGTCATGATAGTGCAGAATGTAATTACTTGAATGTTATAAAAGAGATACTCGAAACTATTTACCTAACAAAACAAAGCTATGAATAGATATAACATATTTATCCAGTTTGCATATTCTAACTTGAAGGGTCAAGAAACATTAACAAGGCTAGAAGTTATTGTAGAAGACCAATTTAAACATTCATTGCAAATTAATTAATTTTATAGAAATTATTTACCTGTTCATATATTTAATGTAATAAAATAAAATATCATGTGTGTAATTTTAATTTTGCAATTCATAAATTAAATATTAAAAAGTTTTCAAATAAGAAATTAAAAACATTTCTCAATGAGTAAAATTGGATTATCTATATTCATTCATTTGATTTATTCATTATTGATTGGTAATGATTTATTTATTAAGTTCTATTATATAAATTAAAGGATTATCTTAAACGAAAAATAATTTTTTTTTGCAATTCATATATTAATTATTAAAATATTTTTTCAAATAAGAAATTTAAAATATTTCTCACTGAGATCTACTATTCACTCATTAATTTATTCATCAGTGATTGATTCTGACTGATTTATTTAGCAGG